CCTGAGACGGCGTCCCACATGCCACAACTAGAAGGACCCACAACTAAAAATACACAACTAGGTACTGGAGGGATTTGGGGAGAAAAAGCAAAAAAAAAAAAAAAAAGATTGGTAACAGTTGTTAGCTCAGGGTGCCAATTTTTTTTTTTTTTTTTTTTAAAAAGATCTCCATTCAGAACATCAGCTACAATTGAAATCACCACCTGATAATTTTATGATAATAGAGTGGTCTCCAAGATTTATCTGCCTTCTTTACAGGCCAAATAAGTGAGTTAACTAGGGATGTGACAAATATCACCGCCCTGTATCTTTCAAGTTTTTGATATTGACACTAATCTCTGCAATTCCCCCAGAAAAGTGGCGTTGCTTTCGTTTTTCTGTCTTGATAAGGAAGGACTTCTACTTGGCTCTCCTACCACAGAAGCCCTCACTCCACAGGTCAGGGGGTCCATGCGGGCATTTGCCGGTTGCCAAGTATGTTTATTCTGACTTAACTTTCAGGAACTCAGGAGATAAATACATGGTGGGTTCCTAGACCTACTGGCCCCACTGCCATTGATACAAGACAAAATTCCATTTACCACCTGACGGCCATAAGTGCCCCACTTTGACTTATGGGCCACAGAGGCATTTTGGGTCCCCAGGAATGAGTGCCAATTCAGAGTCAATGTGCATCAGTCCCCAAAAGGTTTGGGCAAATGGCTGTATGTCCTTCGAGGAATACTTGGAGCAAGACTTAAAGAACATGTTTGTGGAAGTGTTGCAGGATTCTGTCTCAAGGTGAGCCAACCTCCTCTTTGGTCAAGGAGCTCCACGTCTGTGAACAGCTTAGGTGTGAAAACTTGATAAGAAGCCTTGACTCTCCATTGTGATAACAGGAGTTAGGTTTTTGGTCACTAGATCTGGGGTTTTTCTTGTTACTTAATTCAAGTAACATTTCAGTAGGCTGCTCATCTGTTTCATTCCTAGGGACACTATGATCAATTAGCCGTAACCAAAGATTCTCGTGGGTCAAAACATTCTGATTACCATCCTTCATGCCTGTTGCCCATTATGATAAATGCACTCATCTTTCTCTGGCTATTAAGTACTTTCACTTGGCCTTATAAGTCTGGAATTTCCACATCATCCCCATTAAAATCAAGGAGCCTCCCTCATTGACATCATCTCTTGATATCACACCTGGCCTATGGAAGATAGCCATCAGAAAGCTTCAAGGTTACTGATGCTCTATGCACTAGTGTATTTCTCAGCACCATAGTGAAGGGATTAAGGGATGGGAAATAGGCATGCAAGTCAGTCATGAAAAATCCACTCCAACATCTCCATCTCCCAAAGCCTTTGAATTCCTCTGCATTACACCAGAGACAGTCTGATATCTCACCCTCATTGAACAGAGGCCACTGCAGAATCCACGTTTCAATCAGCCAACCAAGTACACGATTAAGGTTGCTTCCAGCTATACAAATTAATGCCTTACATCCAGATTATCTGGTTAAGCGCACGTATATCAAAATTTGCTGATCCAATGTTAAATTCCATTCTCCATGGTGTAACATCCTTAGGGTTAATTTCTACACATATTACCCAGGTTTCTGCTGATATAAATTTTTAAAATCTTATATTTCTTCTGGAAAGTAAGCTATTTTCTCCTGAGTTAGACCCTTGCATTATTTCCCTAGAGTATGCTGAAATCTGACCCAAATATGTCTAAAGGCAACAAGGGGGTTGGCATGAATTTTGAGAACAGGCATCAGGTGAAGTTATTATAGTATCTTCAAGCAAAATAAGTGGGAAAGTGGCTTCTGCTAACAAGAGTGGCTCAGAGTGACTCGGAGAATCAAGATTCTCAGCTTCATCTGAGTCCACGTGGGTGTCACCATTCCAAGTCTCGGGATCCCAATCCTTCACAATCAACCCCCTAATTTTCACGTTAGATACTTGATGGGGCTGTGAATTAATCTATTGTTGTAATTATGTAAACTGTATATTTAAATTTGGTGTTTGATTATTAGTGAGGTTGGCCCTGCAGACACTAGAAAGAAGAGATTCTTTCAGGGCCACCATAGAAGCTCTTTGGTTTTCTGACCATTACTTGAGCTGAGAGTTTAAAGACTTGAGCTGGTCACTTTAAAGACTTGAGCTGGTCACTTTTCTTTTTGTAAGTGTTCACCCCCATCCAACAATCCTGAGTCCATCATCACTATCACCATGGTTAACTGTAGCAGCCGCTTGGTCCCCAAGGCACTTGCTTTACTGGGCACTTCCTCATAGCCTACCACTGGTGGTATTTGGACTAATTGTGATGTTACTGCATGTCATGCGTTAAAATATCCCTTTTTTTTTTATTGACAAGGAGCTCAGCACTGTTTGTGAAGCCAAGAATATGGTCAAACCAACTCCAGAATCCCATCTTTGAAGGTCTGTTTTCTAACCCCACTGTTAATACTACATATCAGTCAGGCTCCAGTTAGGGAAACAAACCATCCCAGTTATTTTAATAGAGAGGACTTAATATAGGAAATTCGTTAAACAGGTATTGGAGGACTGAAAAGGCAAAAAGGGAACATGGAGGTAACTCAGAGTTAGTAAATGCAGGTTGAGGGACAAAGGGAAGAGGGAGTTATATTAGAATGTACAAGCTTGGAGAAGGGACCCCACAGGCACAGTCAGGCTGGTTCTGGGGGTGGGGTGGGGCATGGGGGAAACCTGGAAATTGGAGCTAACTGTTCCTGCAAGGATGACCTGCTGCTGGAGTGACACTGACACCAACAGCAAGCAAAACAGGAAATAGTCATTGCTTTCTCCTTCCTCTCACCTGGCAATCTCCCTCTAGTGCCTCCTATTGGCAGAGCCTAACATGGAGCCACCTGGCAAAGGACAAACATACTTGGCAGAATCTCAGCCAAAGCAGAATGCCAGGGTGGGTTTGGGGCCGAGTCACAATAGCTTAATAAGCAGCATTTTTCAAGTCTGTTTTTTTTTTTTTTACTGTAACCTGGTTATTAAATGGATGAAATGGTACCACATATATTAAATATCTAGAATTGTACCTGGTTCATAGTAAGTGTTCAATAAATCTTAACTTTTTTCCCCTGACATCAGTTGAGATGAGCATGAGGAATTTTTCCCTTCATTCTGCTAATGTGGTGTATTACACTGATTGATTTTTGTATGTTGAACCATCCTTGCCTTCCAGGAGTAAATCCCACTTGGTCATGGTGTAGAATTCTTTTAATAGACTGTTGAATTTGGTTTGTTAGCTGTCTTTTTTTATTTTTTAATTTCTATTCACGATATAGACAGAATTTGAGCTTTTGGAGGGAAGGCTGAGTCAAGGTGACCTTAAAAGTATAACTGGAGGATTTCCTGACCTGTCTGCTCTGAAAGCCAGGCTGGTTTTGCATTCAGGGGCTATTTACAGGAAGCTGCTCTCTCTTTGCTGCTCTCTCAGTATGCCCAGTTATTCTCTTAATTGTAAGCAGATGTAGCCAGAGACCAATGGGAAATGTAAACTGAGTGATTTAAAACAATTTTGAGAGCCTGGCTTTTTCTAAATGTCAGGGACTGTTTTGACTGTTATCTCAGGGGTTAGAGCCTGAAAAGAATGTCAGGTCAGCTGACCAGGACTTTTATGGTTAACAAGAAGAGCTGGTCCCCCTGGATCCTTGCTCTAGTTCAGTGGGAAAGGGCAGAGCACTCCTACTGCAGCGCCACTGCACCCTTGCAGCTCAAGGGCACATCCAGGAAGACACCTGCTTGCTTTCCCATCTGTTTGGCAGTGAAGTTGGAGATTAATAAGCCTTGTCCTGTAGCAGGGAAGGGCATTTTGGTGGGGAAAAAAGGCTCCTGGCCTCCCCGGAGCACTTGGGATTAACTTGACTTACAGTTTCCAAACAGCCCCATTGATAAGAGTTGCCTCACATTTACTATCCCTTGGAAGTTTTGCTTCTGTTGGTTGAGTTGGGGACTCAGACTTCGCCTTTTTAAAGTGGCTGGGTGATTTTTATCATCAGGGAAGTTGGGAAGCCCTGCCCGGGGAAAGAGGGCGACTCCTTTCCTGGACGTTCTATGCAACGCTGCAAGAGGGAGCTGATGGAATATTAACCACTGTAGAGAGACTGCTGTTTGGATAGGTCTGTCTAGGAAGGGCAGAGGGCTGCAGGAACCATCCTGTGGAGGAGGAAACTCACAGGGCTGTTTTGAAGTTCTGTAGTTATGAATGGCAGATAACGTCATTGAAGATCAAGCTTTCTTCTGTAAATCAGCTTGGGTTTGGTTGCAAAACGCAGCAGGCTTGAAGATGCAACTGTTCACACCTTGGAAACCAGGCACTGCGCTGCCCTCCCAGGGGGTGGGGAGAGTCTGAAGTGCATGTTCCAGAGACGTCAGGCCATTCCTGCTGCTCATTCAACCTCTGCCAACGATGCAGCACGTGGAAATGTTTCCTCTGCTGTCTTCCCTCTCCCACAGCTGCAGTTATTCCCCAAATGCTGAAAGCAAAAGGCACCTGGGGCAGGCCAGAAAACAGCAGGACCTCGGCGTTTTCATAAGTGAGACTTAGGAAAGTTTAAGTGTCATCACAACTGGAGATTCCCGAAGTGGGCAGGGATACACAGACAGTATGAAATAGGCGTCTGCCTGTTGCTAATGAGCTGACCCAGTAGGAAAACTGGGTTAGGTTCCTGAGCGGATGGTGGACACACCAGGCCCCCCGCACTGCTCGAGGCCCTGGAGGTCACTCGGCCGTTTCTACAATCTTGGCTTCGGGAGGAGGCAAACAGGGCCTTGAGTGTCTAGAAAAGCGCCTCCTAGCACATAAGACGGGCTCAATAAACACTTTTTGAATGAGTGAATGAATGAATGTGAGTGAGAGAGACAGCTTGTTGCTGAATTGCAAAACAGAGACCTTCAATTATTGACAATATATGAGAAAACTTCAGGCCTCGTTTCTTAGACCTTTGTTCTTCTAAACAAAGTTTAGCCCTCTGCCTGTTATACTCTGTTAACCACAGAAGCCCAAAGTTCTTCCATAGCTAATCGGAGCCCGATTCCTTTGCTCTGCTCTTAGGAGCTCTCAGTCCCCTTCCCCTCCAAGAAGCGGGTGATGGCGTGCGGAACGATGGAGCAGAGCAGCAGATGCTTGGAAGACTTCCCTCTCAACGTGTTCTCTCTCACGCCTTACACACCCAGCACCGCCGACATCCAGGTGTCCGATGACGACAAGGCAGGGGCCACGCTGCTCTTCTCGGGCATCTTCCTGGGTCTGGTGGGAATCACGTTCACCGTCATGGGCTGGATCAAGTACCAAGGTGTCTCCCACTTTGAATGGACCCAGCTCCTTGGGCCCATCCTGCTCTCAGTCGGGGTGACGTTCATCCTGATTGCCGTGTGCAAGTTCAAAATGCTTTCCTGCCAGTTGTGCAAAGAAAGTGAGGAAAGGGTCCTGGATGCGGAGCAGACGGCCGGAGGGCAATCCTTTGTTTTCACTGGTATCAACCAACCCATCACTTTCCATGGGGCCACCGTGGTGCAATATATCCCTCCTCCTTATGGCTCTCAGGAGCCCATTGGGATGAACACCACCTACCTGCAGCCAGTGGTGAACCCCTGCAGTCTCATACCCTCTGGAGGGGCGGTGGCCACCATGCCGAGCCCTCCTCAGTACTACACCATCTACCCTCCAGAGAACGCCGCCTTTGTTGATGACCAGGACTACCTTTCCTTCACGGATGGTGGAAATGACAGGTATGGTGTGTGTAGTGGGGACGAACCCCTTCCAGCGGTCACGGTCACGGTCTATGGCTGTGTCTGTTCTGTAAGGAAGGTGGGGGGAGAATGCGAGTCTCTGTGTACCTGTTTCCAGGATGGTGGCGTCGGTTCTGAGTGGGGCTGTGGGTTGAAATGCATCTGTGCTTTCTGCTCGCATTTCAGGTCCAGCCCTGATGCTGAGCAGCTAGAAGAGACACAGCTGGAAGATGTGGACTCTGCCACCTTCTCTCCTCCCTCCTATGAGGAAATATACTCTCTCTCTCGTTAGAGACTGTGATGCCCGGGGAACAACGCTGAGTCATGGCTGCTGACGACTGCAGTGTACTCTGCGCTGACCTTCAGAAGTTAGACAGCCCAGCAGCCCAGACAGCCTGACAGACACCATGCAGCGTGGGGGAGGAGGAAGTGGGAAGTGAAATGTCTCAGGTTAGTAAAAATTAGGCTGGGACGAGGAAATTCCCTTCCAGTACAGCTGGAATCCCCTTCACGAGGTCAGGGAGCAGGCATTTCACCTGTTTTCCCACTGTGCGCCTCTTCGCTACCGGAAGGCACTGTGTCTCAATTGTAACTCCAGCAGCCAAGGGAGGAATGACATTGCTGTGACCTTGGGAGTTTCTGTCTAGTGGGAGTAGGGGCTGGGAAGGAAGGAGGGAAGAGAAAACAGGCTCAACGGGAGATGTTCTCGGCCCCCAGAGAAGAGTCACATGTCCCAAACAGCCGGGTTGCCACCCTGTGTCCCTTGAGGACACTAAGTATCCTAAAGGCTGCAAAAAAAATACATAACATGAAATAAAGAATGTCTCCTGTTAGAACAGTATTGGATAGCTGGCGAAACCGCACAATATAAACAATAACAGGGGAATGATGTCAATAAATCTTAAGTTATCCCTGGGTCACAGTGACTCTGGGGCTGCTGGTGTTCTCCTTGGCAAGGCTGAAGCTTGACGCGTCTGCCCCAGGCTGGCATCTGCGCTGGGCACAAACCACCCAGCCCAGCGGCCGACAGAACACGGGGTTTCCCTTCGCACCTGCGGAGGAGCTCTGTTGAATTAGATGAAATAGAGCTGCCGTGTCGACACCTGGAAGATCACAAATCATGGAAACAATCTGTGTGGGCCAAGACAAGCTCAGCTTCTTTATGAAAAACTTCAGTGCCCTTAAGCTTCCTGCATCTGGACTGTGTCGTAAACAACCAGAGCAGACTCACAGACGATAGGAGAGACAGGTTAAACCATTAGGTTCTAAAAGAAAATATTTTCCTTAGGCTACAAAGGTAAGGCCGCTCAAGGTAAGGGGGGCTCATTCCAAAGGAAGGCAGGATGGAGAAAGCCTTTGACGTTGGTACCATGTCTGTATATGGAGCGATTTCTGCTACTTCTTTATCAGAAGCATCTAGTTTTCCAAGGATATGATTAAAATAAGCTTGGTATATTATTGTTGTGATTTATATTACATCTTACGGAAAAAACATTTTAAAACAAGAATTCTTTTTAGTGTTTGATGATAGAAGGTGATGGAAAAATACCATTCAGTTTAGAGAAACTAGCTTTAATACTCAATGTATTCACGAAACACTGGATTCCTAGCTGAGGGCCGTGGGTTCTGGGGAGGACGTTTGGTGACAGGAACATGGCCGAGCATGCCTACAGGCAGTGACTCTGGAGGCTGCATGCCTGCCCTCCCACCCGCTCCCTCCTCATCCTCACCCACCCCATGGCCTTACATTCCTGGCTTGGGGTTACAGGAGCATCAAGGGTCGCTCACATTGGAAAGAGATGTTAGGAAAGGGCCTCCGAGTATGGAAGCTGAGAGGATAGGACAGCCGATTTGTCTTGGTGATGCCAGGAGTCCCATAGGCAGGGAGTGGCCTTGGGGAGTTTTCAGGCAGCAGAGTCATTTGGCACCAACCGTCCCTGTTCCAAGACAGAAAGTGCTACCACGCAGGTAATTGATGCTTCCGAAAACAGTGTGTCACAGCTAGTGGCTGAAGGTGGGAGGCCGGCCCGCAAGTCAGGGGGTCCGAAGATGGGAATTTGTTCATTCATTAACACATATTAAGTATCCACTGTGTCAGGACCCGGGCCAGCAGGTGGGGATATGACAGTGAGAAACCAAACCAGCAGGAGAGCAGACGTGGCCCTGCCCTCGCAGAGCTTCAGTCTAGCTGGGGAGACAGATCCTCATCAATTATTCTCTGATGCCAGTGAGGGGGCCGGGGATTTGGATGAGTCTGGAGGGTCCCGAGGGCCATTGCCCTGAGTAACCCCGGGGAGCACTGTTCACTCGGATGGCCAGGCGCCCGGTGTCTCTGGACCTCTGAAGACTGTCCTGGGAGCTGAGGGAACAGAAGCTGATACCTAGATCAAGGGGAGGCGGCAGACACCTGGCCAGTCCCCGAGTGGGAGGCGGTGTCAGGACGCAGCCTGGAGGCTGCCAACCTCATTTCAGTGCGGCCTCAGCCCTCAGACACAGCTGCCTTCCCACACCCAGGAAATACACCCTGCCCTCTTGCTTGGGACAACCCCATGATGCTCTCTTTTTCTCTTTATTTGGGGGTTGCAGGGGCCAGCATGATGGGAAGCCCCCCGAGTGGCTCTTGGACTCTGACACCAGGTCTTTACTTGGTCCCTTGACCAGCAAGGACACATTCCTGGCAGAGTTTCTGGTTTGTCGTGTGGCTATGTGCCTTTCATCATTCTCTCTCCAGTATCCTATGGGGTGAAGGGAGCACTGTGACCTGGGGATAGTTAATGGGAGTCTATCTGGCCCTGGCTGTGTGCTCCACGCTGAGGTTATCCGTGTGAGAAGTGGTCCTGGCTTGGGGCACATGCTTTAAGGTTCAGTGTCCAGTCTGGAACCTGAGGGGCCTTGTCCGCCTCGTCAAATGCTTCAGTCTGGCTCTGCAGAGCAGCTGCAAAGCCACTGAGCAGTTTTAATGAGGAGGCAGCTGCCATCTGATTCTGGATTCTTACTGGTAGGACAAGACCCAGAAATACATTGGGTGTAATATTTACACCCAATGTGCTGTGCTGGCAGAGCCCAGGTCTAAGTGACCAGGACACCAGGAGACACCCCTCTCTTCTTCCCTCAGCCTTTGGCAGGGCACTGTGGGTGGGCATGCTTTGGCGATCTAGATAGAATTCAAAGTGAGGCTAAAAGGTCTTGTTAATCAATGGAGACAGGTTTCTTAAGAACTTAACATTATCTGGAAACATCTCCTGGGAGCCCATATGGAGTGGGCTAGAGAGACGGATGACAACGGATCATCTGATCGGGCAGGAAAGGAATCAACCAGGCTTGGGAAATGAGGCCCAGCCGCCAAGGGGAAGACGCTGTCACAAAGCAATTCTTCTTTTTCCTCCCCTTGGGCAAACAGAGGGCCGAGGTCTTGTGCAACTGGGTCTGCATTACTCTCTTCCGCGGAAGTCCGTGGGGGCTCTGAGAGAGGTGGCGTGCCTCCGAGAGATGGCAGCTTTTCTCTTATGCTCCACTGAGCCAGGCTCCAGTCTAAGTTTCAAATGCACCGGTGGCTCTCTGCCACAAAACCAGCCCTTTAAATGTCCTCCCCACTCTTTTGGGGAGAGGGGTACAGTATAAAAATAAAGCCTCTTGCTTGTGAAGAGCTGGCTGTGGGCGTCTGGTTCCAGCTTCCACCTCGGGGGCTTGTCATTGGCCTCCTTTACTGTCAGTCAGATCTCAGGGGGAGGGTTCGCTGAAGCCCCAGACCCCCCCGGCAGTTGGCGTTTCTCCCCAAACAGTAGCTCCTCACTGTAATCATGGGGTAGATGCCTTCTTACCAACCGAGAGAAGAGAGGTTCCTGCATGCATCATGGAGGCCGGCGAGGCCCGGTTCTCAGTCGTGACCCCCTGTCACAACCGGGGCGCTGTCTGCAGAGGCCGCAGCTCACGCCACTCCACAGGCACCAAAGGCCCCTGCCAGAGCCCTCTCCAGGACTGACACTCTGTTCCTGTCGAATAACAAATATGAGATGAATAGAAGTACCCTTCACACAATAAAGGACCATTCTAGCTCAACTTAGCTGTTTTGTTGTTTTCTACATTATGAAAAATTTCAAACAAATACAAGAGTAGAGAGAATAGTATATATGAAACCCCACGCAGCCATCACCCAGCCACATCTCACGACCAATCTTGTTTCATTCACACCCACAATTCCCCAACTGGATTTTTATTATTTCTTCAGAGTTCTTCACCTTTTTATTTTATTTTTTAAAGGCTTTTTTCTTTTTTTTTATTGAGGTATAACTGACATGCAACATTATATGAGTTTCAGGTGTACAACATAATGATTCGATATTTGTATAACCCAACTGGATTTTTAAAAAGCAAATCCAAACCATCAAATCATTTTATCCTAAAATATTTCATTGTGTATCTTTAAAAGATAAAGATTCAAAAAAAAATACACCACCATTATTACACCCCCCAAATTTACAATACTTCCTTAACGTCATCAAATATTTAGTCAGTGTTTACTTTCCCCAATTTTCTCTATTTATTTTTACCTCTTGGTTTTATTTGAATCAAGATCCAAAAGAGATTAGCTTTTTGCGAAATGCATTCTAAATTTCTAGCTATGTTATACTATATTTTGGGAGGCAGATGGTTGGCAAACTATTCGTGGTAGCAGATTCATATTTACTAAATTTCAGTTTCCAAGCAAAAGTGTTTTTCAAGATTTTTCACTTCATACCTCCTTCTCTGCCAGTTCCCTGAAACTCTAGTCCTCCACTGGAATTAGAACCTTATTTTTTCTACTTTTAGCATATTATTAGAGATTTTCTAGACATAGGCTTAGGAAAAAAACATACATAAAAGGAAAAAGAGAGCTTTAAGTGAGTGTTTAGTTGAGAAACAGCCGCTGCAGAACAGTTTTAAGAGTATCAGAAAACTCCGACAACCTTTAGCATTTTTGGCTTGGTCAGCAAAACTTTCTGGAAAAAAATGTTCTTTCCTTCAGAGACCATAAAAACTCCTTTGAGCCTTTCAGCAGTGAAAACCAGTCTCCTCTCGAAGAAACAAAGCGCAGGGCCTCTTGCTCTGCATTAAAATATGGTCTGGCACAATTTATCTCGCACAGGCTACGGACTGTGGGCCTCTCACCAGTGAGTTCTCAGCTCTCCTCAAATTAAAAACGAATATATTTTCTGGACGTGCCTACAATTCTTCCTTTAAAAGTGGATGTGTACGTGTGTGTGTGTGTGTGCGCGTGCATGCACGTGTGTGCACCTACAGTCTCTTATTATACGATGTGATTTATGGATTTCTTGCCCACTTAGTACTTGTAAATCATCGAGAGTTTTATGTCCTGAGCAGTCAGCAGTTGGTTATAAAATCAACGGAGGGCTATACTAAATAAACCTTTGCTGGACTGCTCTTAAGAATTGATGACAAATCAGAAAGTGAGGACAACGCCGTGGGAGTGAGTCTTACCACCTCGGGGACGCCACGAAGGTCTCAGATAGGGGAACTCTATTTGTCTTGAGCTTTTAAGAAGATTAATAACCAGATAAACTGAGAAGGAAAGCAGTTCTCTAGGTTCCAGAAGTTTTCTTATAACAAAGAAGTTGTCCTCCGGCACCAAACCTCCACGTGTGTAAATCATAGAGCAAATCCGTGTGCTGGAGTCTGTGCTCACACTCGAGGGGCCGAAGACGAGGCTCACGTAAGGAGACAGAGCTTTTCCTGTTCAAATACTCCCATCCTTTCATTTAAAAGAATAAATTTTTTAAAAAGGAGATATGTGTGTGTGTGTAATCCTTTTCTTCAATATATAGCCTCTCTCTTGAAGATGCATAGAATCATCAATAACCATTTCTGGAGCAGAGGATACGAGACATCTTCTTCACTTTACTCCACGCTAATTAATGATTTTTTTTTGCCGTGTTTATATATCACCTGATCGTGAAGTTACTTTTAGACTAGAGGAAGAAGAGAAGGAAATGGTCTTTCTCCACATACTTTTACTATTAACATCATCTTCTTGAGGCCTGGAGTAAATAATTTTCATTGCCACTGCTGCTTATCTACGTAACGGATAAACACACATGATCCGTGGATACAGATGTATGAATACAGACGTCTCTGGACACAAACTCACCGCATTATGAACAACAATTTTACCGCAACACACACACGCAAGGTCTCTGGGGGAGAGAAGCGAGCTCCCTTCGTGTGAGTGAAAGACGTTTCACATACAATATATGTTGTTGCTAAAGTCCTCTGCTGGCCGGTGTCCGACGCCAGGTAAACACTGACCAACGTCCAGGTCGCAGCAGCACAGTCATGAGTCAGCTTCCACACGGATCTTTCCTGGATAGTTTTCTCAACCCAGCCTCCACCTCCACTCCTGGAAGAGCTTCACTTACTGAAGATCCACCAGCCTTGTCCCTCCAGAGGTGAAACAGAGT